TACTTCATTACTGCAAATAACATATAAAAAATCAGTAAATCTTTGTCTTCAGGATGTGCCAGTTTACCCCGAAATGTAAAGTAGTAATCTCTATTTATACAATGAGCTTGTTCTTACTGATTGACTGACTGACTGATTATTAACGCACGACAGAAACTGTTGACTCGATTTGGATGAAATGTTACAATTCAACAACGGTTTAAAAATTTCATATACTATAATTGAGTGAAGTGTCTTTCGAAAGATAGGAAAATTTTAAGAGTGAAATATACCTCTTACATTAGAGGTGTAGCTCTGCTGCCAAAAGCTCTGCGAATAACCAGTTCCTAAAATACAGTCGAGTGAGGTGTCATTACAAAGATATAGAAATTGTAAGAATGACGTATATTAATCGTGCTTCTTGACTTATAACCGGTAATACACCGCTGGCGAAGCACAATTACTAAACGGTAGTATTCATATAAGCGAAACACGGGCCAGCTTAAATTAAACAGTTAAAAAAGGCTAAAAAATGAAAGATGATGGCAACGATGTAGCTGCTTTATCTCTTGTTCATTTCCCCATTAGAAATTACCTAACGAGGATATCAGAACAAAATTTAACACAATTACCTGTCTCAACAAATTATCCTTGTAGCAACAAATTCAAAGCATAAAATAATTTTGCCAAAGGTAGTATAAAGAATATTTAAACGAATTTTACATAAGACACCTGAATAGAAACGAAGACATTAAAGAGGACAATTGGGTGACTTATCAAAAAAAATAAACTTTCCCTTACGCATTACCATCTCGTTCATATCATCGAGCTTATTGCGTCTTGTAACTTGTTACGGTGAATTAATACGTAGATATTTTATCAAAAGTGCGCCTTAATTAATAACCTGAATAAATAAATAACAAACTAAAAAATTAGAATGGCACTTTAAATTACACCAATCTATGCTAATAATAATGTTAAAGTAAGACGTTACTTAAAAAGTCATTAAAAAGTTATTGTCCTTTGACGATTCAATTATTTTTGTCTCACATTATTCTAGCCTAATTATTTTCCTTTTTTCTTTGGTCCATATTTATCGGAAAGACTTCTTGCTCATCAGTGACATCGAGAAAAGCCATGTAACGCTGCCACTAAGCATGGACTATATTTTGTTTTCTTTTATTGTAATTGACAGTAAGACTACATATTCTTTTGTATTTCTGTATCAAGAAGAAAAACAGCTAAAATTCAGACGAACGAAGAAAAAGCGGAAAAATATGAGGTCAAAATCGGAAATACGGGAGCAAATGTGAAATCAAGGAAAAAATCAGACTAATTACGGAGTAACACAGCTTAAATTGTCAATTTTAAACATTAAAACAAATGTAATTTTGTGTTTATTGTATTGACATAATCGTTCAGTCCCCTTTTCGTGTCGAATTCAAATTGCTAAATGTTAGTAGGTATTTATTTATCTACTAGGAGATTGTAATGGTCTTGTTTATAGAGTTGTCTTGCATCCTTATTCTATTTCAGCAAGTAAACTTGACTGTCAACATCCACTTCGTCCGTTTTATCTGCCTTTTCTAAACCACCACCTCATCCCATAATTCCTAAAACGGGGCTGAAGAGAACTTTCCGCCATACCTTCCGTCTTTTCATTACAAGCTGATGAGCATAGATTTGTTTTTGATAAACTAGGTGTTGAATATTTCGGCCTAGATCATAGTTAAGCATTCGGGAGGACCGGTTCGATTCCGGATCCGCTTGGTTTGGTCCAAGTTTCTGTCTTTATTTTGCCTTACCTTCCCAATCACCACCCTCCTAATACCTCGATTCATATAAGGAAGCTGAAGAGGACTTTCCGCCCTATCCTCCAACTTCACACTGGAGTGTAGGTCTGCGCTGCTGATATAACAATTTGGTTAAGCACATATATTCAACTGGATCATAGATTCAGTTTGTCAAGCGAACACCTTTGGAAAACCTTTTCAAACATTAGAAATCTCACTAAATAACGATATACCGCCTGCTGCTCGGTATTATGTCATCTCCATTTTAGGGAACAACTTCGATTTGACCGGTAATTTATCGACAATGCATGTGGATTAATAATGAGGACTAATCATTCCGAAATCGCGATCCACATCTGTTGGTTCTGATAAATAACTAACCAAGAATTTGATGTTATTCATCTGTATGTTTTTTTGAAGAACTTCTTTACAACTATTAATTTTTAATGAGGACGTAACTGAAATTTTTAGGGCCTCGAGTAATCTGGTTCGTAAATTTGATCTAGCAATTACATTTGCTTTTAGTTAAACCATTTTAACATGTGTTTATCTCATGTAGTCCTTACAATTTATTAATGGGAAGGTATGTTATCATTAAAACTTAAGTATACTTGTAGCGTTATAACACAAACATAACTCTCATGATCACTATTGCAAATCATATTACTTTGGAATAGAAGGTAGGCTGTTCAAGGTACAATCGTGATTAGGATGAGTTCAAAAATAACAAAGATTAAAAGTTTTCGACTCTTAAACTATTAATATAAAAATTTACTTCTTTTAATTTTCTACCCACTATAAACTACCTCANTCGCAAATAGTTAAGGATGTGGGCTGTTCTAGTTTTAGGGAAATGCGAAGTTTAGCTCAGGATAGGAAAGAGTGGAGGTACGTATCCAACCAGTCTTAGGACTGACGACCCTATGATGATGATGATGATTATTATTGGGAACGAAAAAAAAAACTATTATTATGCCAGGAGGTTGTTTTAACAACTTCTCATTAGTCTACGGTACAACTACCTGTCAGTTACTGAAAACTTGGTCCAGGTACTTTAATATTAAAATTGGCAAAATGAAAAAATAGAAAAATATTTTTACTGGAATGTAAGAAGAAACATCTGTTTGTCAAACATATAGTGAATAATTTAAAATGTATACAAAAGCTGACAAGGTAATAAAAGATAATAAAAAACTTCAAGTTGTCTGTATTGAACTTGGAAATTAAAGTTACGTGCTATTAAAATAAAAAGTGGAAATGGATATCTAAGAAATAAAAAGGAAGCTAAAAGTGGAAATTCTAAACCTCTTAATCAACAACTGTTTAAGGATGAATCAGGCACGATATGAAACAATGCTTAATGGAATTAACAATAAGCTAATACAAATGGAATTAACAATAAGCTAATACATGTAAAGAAAGCTAAAACCATCCGCGAATCATCATGCGATGTATGAGTTCCACACAAACAAATAAAGTATTATATAATTATGCAAATATACCGTTACCAGATTATGCCATCAGGACACCTAGTTTAATCACCAAAAGTTGGTCTTTGTAACAAAAAATCAAAACTATATTTACCACTTATTATTAAGGATATCGAATTTGGGATATCTAGAGTAAAAAGAGAAAATAACGATAAAGAGCAAATAAAAAATTTGCAGAACAACATAAGATCACGAGTCATCAACGGGTCACGAAACAATTTAGACATGGATGATGTAGTTAACAGTGAAGAAATATGTCTTAAAAGGGATGTCAAGGATACGAAACGATTTTTAGACACACATAAAGAATTAATTATAAATAGTGCTGATAAACGTGGTGCAAGGTACCAATATGAGTTGGAATTACAGAGAATGTTGGCTGATGAGACGACATACAAAGTGATAGACAAAGACTCACCGAATAAATTTCAGAAAAGAGTTAACAATTTAGTAGATGAGCTTATTGTTCAAATGGTCAAGAATTTAAGAACTTTTAATTCAGTTCCATCCAGAATATATGGACTTAGAAAGGTTCACAAGGACTAATATAAACTGAGCTCAGGTGTTAGATGTATAAAATTTCCTTCGTATAAGTGAATAATTCTATGAGCTTTGTTAGTTTTATTAATATGACGAAACAACCCAGTGACTTTATGCTGGTGTCATTGTATGTGGTCATTTAGATCTAGTCATTGAACTGATCCATGAAGATTGGACTGAAACCTTAAATAGAATAAGTATCGATAAAAAAGTATTAAAAGATCTAATAATATGCTATTTTGAGACAAGTTACGTTGTGTTCAAACATAAGTTTACCTTACAAATTGATGGTACGAGCATGGGCAGTCCATCAAGTCCAACATTGGCCAATTTCGTTGTGCACTACACATTAAAGAAAATCATAAATTCGTTACCGTATGAGAAGTTATTTTTGGATGAGACTTTAATGGCGATACCAAAGAACGAGAGCAGCAGCTTGTTGTATTATTTCAAAAGCAAGAGAATACAGTTCACGATGGAATGTGAAGAAGAGAATAAGATAACTTTCCTGGACGTCTTAGTTATGAAAAAACTGGATGGAACACTGAAAACATGTTAGTACTCAAAACCGACAGGGAGATTGTTGAATTATAAATCCAATCATCCGACGTATCAGAAGAAATCAGTGGTACAAGGCTTACTGAATCGAGCGGTAAATCATAGCCACCTACATTTCTATCAAGAAAATTAAGAGTTAAAAATATTTTGAGTATACAGATACGAACAACTTAAGTAACTTATATAGTATAATCATCTACCAAAAACCATCAAGAGAAATTCTTTCTGAAGTTCAACGTTGTCAATGTAATAACGCGAATTTCGGTTTGAGTATCAATTGTAACTTAGTTTTACTGATTTACTACGTATTGGTTTATAAGAATTGCTATGCCCCAATTATGTAGGTTGGGTTATGGCGGAAAAGATTTCCCTGACTCACACACGTGAACTTAAGTTAGGTTTAAATGAGAGAATGAGAGGATTGGCTTGTGTAATGCGTTATGCAGCAGGCTTTGAGTGATATGCAACGTATTTTTCTACGCTCTCTCAGGGTAATCATTGGTGGGTTCATTAATTGTCTTTAGATACTGACGCTAAGTCCGATTGTTAGTAAGCTAAGAATTCATAACCATACTGCCCTGAAGGCCCGATATTTAATATTTCATTAATTATACATACATTTACTATATATTTAACTTACCAGTAGAATTCAATCGTAATTCTCCTTCAACATACTCTCCAACACGGACCCATTGATATTTGCCAGGAAGTACTTGCTTAAAGTGTATTATATTGTATCTGGCTGGACCGTCTCCATTCATGTCAAAATGAAATCGATCACCGCTTAGACCTAAATAAATAGAAAAAAGTAAATACTGTTATACAAGTATTTCAAGGGTATAGTGCAGTATACATATGTATTGTACGTATTTGCAGCGAACGCTCTAGTTCTATTTGAATGTCAAGGAAATGCAAAATTTATCACTTTGCGAAGAAATATGATGCTACTTGGAATAAGTTTGCATAAAAATTTACCTATCTCTGCACTTTACTGCATTTCATTTTAATATGCTTGCATATATTTTTCAAGTGAGACTTGTTAATGAATGTACTTTTTGATATGACTTTATGTCACTTAATAAAAATATTTCATTTGGTGAAGTTACCAAGAAATAAAAAATTGGTCAGCTACTGATATCGGTAGTGGAAAATGGAAACGGTGGTAAAAGAATAAACAAACTAACAAAAAAGGCAACGGAGTTACCTTCTTCTTAGAAGAGGTGATGTTTCAGCAACAAGTACTAATAACCAATTATAAAAAAATAATAGAACTAGTAATTTTCACATTCTATTTTCTTTTATAGTCATGAATTTTAACCAAGTAAATACCGATTCCATCCTGTTAATCCGTTAAATCACAAATGACTCGTTTCGGTTGCCTTTGTACCAGTTTGTCGAAGCGGTACCGTAATTTTTTGGCATCGAAAATAAAATATCCCACAAATTTTGAAAAAATTTTTAAATTAAGCGATTAAAACTAATCGTCATATTTTGATATTTATGCTATCAATTATTCTTTGTATTATCAGCTGAATCAAAAAGGTAAAAATACATTATAGATACTAACAGTCATACCCCAGCTATAACAGTACCTTCGAAGAAGGATGATAAATTAAAGATGTCATTGTATATTTAGGACTTTCTGAACTCACATACCTTCAAAATCAACTTTGCGTAGAAATCTAAGCAGCTCAGATCCTTTCGTAGGCTTGAGAGAATCACACAGTCCGGGTTGACCATGACATAGATCCTTATGCATATCTCTGAAATAGAAAAAAAAAACTATTATTAACAGAAGAAAAACACAAGATGCGATTCTCTAGGTTCATACAACCAACTTCCCATTATAAAAATAAATATAAATAAGTAAATAAATATTGTCATAAGCAAGTGAATTTATATGTTTCTGTTGAGATATAACTACTCCAGAAACAGAAACGAATTTTATATTAATATTGACAACGGATTTTATAATTTAGAATCACTAGTCAACAATTTAACTATAAATAATTATTAACATCATAGTGTAATAATAAGCCTACCTTATGAGATAATTAGGAAACACAGAAAAACGAAAGGAACCATCACAGGGTAAGTGAAGACGTCAAGCCGCTTCACCACCCTTCTTCATGACGTTAAATTTGACTGAACTTTCCGGTTATAACTGATTCCGCTATTTAAACGGCTGATAATTAACTTACTAACCTGGTATAGTAAGTATATGTTAGCTTGCAGTTTCAAATAAATATATTAGATGTACTAACATTGTGCCAGTGATCTAAATACGAATTTATGAATACTATGTAACAGTATCTCTCCAGAAATCTCCAAGCCTATTTTTCCTGCAGTATTTGAGTTTAAACAAAGTAACTTGTTCTATTCCCCGTCGAAATAATGACGTAATTTGTCCTTAAAATACATTTACTACTTATTAATACAATTTTCATCTCGTCGGTAACGTACAAAGGTCAATATAAAGTTAGTTAGAATTATAATCGGACAGAATTAAATCTGTAGGATTATAAAGTTGCGGTAGGAAAAGAAAACACGAAGTCCATGTCCATTCTTTTGTTTTGTAGATTTAGAATAAGAATTTTGAGGATTGATGTGTTATTTTAAGAAATTTAAAAACTGCCACGCTGCACAAAATGGGAACAAATAAACAAATTAATAGAGTAGCAGTTAACCACTGAAAATATGTAGGATACATATTTTCAAATGCTTCAAATAAAATAAAGGGTCAGTCGGACAAAGGTGTTCAATCTATTGAAGAAGGATTTTGATCAAAATTTTCATTAAGAAAATTTTAATGGGATTGTGTTTAGAAAATAAAGTGAAGGAAACTCATCCCTGAATTCGTTTTTTCTCGCTTGAAATGTTACATTATAAACACGTTGCCCGTATTCCCCCTCTCTCGTTAAATGTAGACTTTACGATGTAAAACTAATTGTTTCTACTGTAGTTTAATAAGACTGTGTACCAGAATTGCTATATTTGACAATAAAAGTATATTAACAACTGTATTAATCGGATTTCAAATAATGTATAATTTCACAATCAAAAAATTTTCTATTCAGTGAGACTAGGCTAGGTGTAACATTAATTTGTATTTCTATTTATCATATCGACTTGTTCTTTTATTTTTTAATCCTAGGTTTTTAAGTATATTTCCACAACAACTTGTCCATATTTTGCCCCGAAGTCCTCGTTATCCTGTATTCCTTACTCCTTTACCAATTTTAGCCCACTTCATTACCTTACCATCACCCAATTTTCCCCACTTTTCGCTATCCCAAGGTGGTATAAATAGCGGTTCCGGAATAAGTAGAGATCATCTCTAACGTTTCATGGACCAACGGCAAGGCAAAGAGGGAGCTCTGGGCTCATAGTGAATTCACATTTCTTGTGTATATATTATACTCCATTTACAGGCCATTTGATATTATTTTTCTTTAGCTGTAGGTATATGTTAGATTTCCTATTTTCGTAAGCGTTTTCACTAGTTTGTTTCTGTATATATATATATATATATA